TTTTACAAGACTGTATTTAAAACTTATGTCCATAATCAAATGGTGCAACTCAGTCAGTTGAAATAGTATTGTTGTTATATACCATCAAGTGGGAACTGACACATAGCTGACCACATAGCTGACCACATAGCTGACCCCCAGCCCCCAGCAGGTTTTCTGAAGCAGTAAATCACACAGGAGATTGCACAACTTTCTTCCACAGAGCAGCTGGTGGATTTGAACCTTGTGCCTTATGGTTGGCAGTATAACTCTTAACCGCTAAATCACCAGAGCTTCCTTGATATAGCATGTTGCTGTTGTTGTTAGGTGTTGTATAGTTGAGTATGACTCTTAGTGACTCTGTGAACAACAGATCTGAATCTTGTCCTGTCCTGTGCCATCCTACCATCTCTAACACACTTGAACCCATTGCTGCAGATACCATATCAGTCCATCTCATTGGGGTCTTTCCTCTCTTTCACTCTCCCTCCACCTTCTTAAGCATGATATCCTCTCCCACGTAATAACCACTCCTAGCAATATGTCCAAAGTATGAGAGATGAAGCTTTACCATCATTGCCTCCAAAGACCACTCTAGCTTCACCTTTTCTAAGACACACCTGTTCGCTCTTTTGAGAGTCACAGTTTGCAAAAATCCTAACTCTAATCCTAACCCTAATTAAGTAGCACCTGAGGTCTTAAAATTTGGGAGTACATATCTAAAATACAACCGTTGGTCTCAGCTCACCAGGAATGAAATAATAAGATGGTAACCAGAAGTTCAAAGAAGCAAGTCTACATAGGTCACAGTCTTAGCTACTCCGAGACCAGAAGAACTAGATAGTGCCTGGCTACCACTATTGCCAGTTCTGCCCAGGGTCACAGTAGATCGTTCTGGACCCAGTGGGAAGAAAATGTGGAAGAGAACAGAAATTCTTAATTTAAGGCAAACAAAAGCAACAGGCAAGCTGAAACAGTAGACAGTCAAGCGAGAGAACACCTTAAGACTCTTTAAACCTGTAACTAGAATCACCCTTGAGGGAAATAACAGTAGCACACAAAATGAAGGAGTGAGACTCTACTTAAAAGCCATCAATATGGAATCAAAAAGTCAACAGTTATTCCGATGCAAACATGAGAAGATAAGGAAACAGAAGAAGTGGAGTATTGGCAGGGAACATACAGAACACGAAAGAATGGTTGACGCATCGCATCATTGTGTAAGTGTAATTAATGCCACTGAACAACTGGTGTCCATATTGTCTAGAGGGATCTGAACTTGCTGTGTAAACTTTCAGCAAAAATTCAATTTGGGGGGGAGAATTAAAAGGAGGAAGCGAGGTACACCATCTGTTCATCTCGTCAGGGTGTTGCCTGGACTCAGAGTCAAGAGAAATCACCTCCTAAAATCCTTCTGACAAGTGAATTGTGTCCTGGGGACCAGGTGAGAATGAGATACTAATGAGTTGCCAAAGAACTGATGGTTCTGAAGTCACACGGAGCTCAGTAATTTGTTCCTTCGTTTAGAAAATGTGCACATAATCCTCTCTTGGAAAGACAGGAAATCGTGTTTTCATGTTGGATCAAAGTATTCCAAAATCTGCTCTGAAGAAAATACACAAATACACTTGCCTAATGTTAATGATTCATTTATCTTTTTGTACGAAGTCTATTTTACACAGTCACAGAAACAGCCAGAGTGAAATGTCTTCGAGCTCATGCATCCAGTTGCAAGACTATAGCTTCCTTGATTTAAGATGCCTTCAATGTTGAGGTACACGTTATTTTAATTATTTTGCAAAAAAAAAAATTACAAATTCATCTGTAATGTTTCCTCTCTGTAGATTAGGAAAAACCAATTGATTTGCACTCAGCAAATTTGACTCAGCAGTTTCCAGTTTCCACCCTCTTCTTCAGCCAATGAATGCCCGCAGCCAAGATTGAGAAAGAGATTCTGAACTCACATTCCTCCCAGGGCTGGGTGGCACCCTTCCAAACCAACAGCTGTTCTTTCGCTTTTTTATTTAACACAGCACAGACAGAGACAAAGCCTCTTTCTCTTGCTCCTAACACGTATCTATCTCTGGACTTTGCTCTGAGGGCACCAATTACAAAGAATGGGAAGGTTAATGAGTACTTCCACCAGTGCCTGTCAGAAGCTCAGCTGCACCCAACTGCACTCAAGCCTGCTTCACTTTTCTTGCAGATACAACCAATGTGGTAGTTGAACAAATAGTAGGCACTGTAATCCTCCTTGGCTTCTTTCTCAGGCTGGTCTGAAATTCCATTTCACAGAATTTCATATAATTTCGTGTCATTACCGTTTCTCAGCAGCTCAAATTCAATCCTTTTGATGACGAGCATGAGATTCATTTTGAGAGAAGGAAATTGTGTTCAGTGGAAGGTCAGAGTGCTTGGAGTTCTCTACCATTTCCCCAAAGAAATCGTTCTAAACTTCATGCCACTGCTGTTAACCAATCTGTAGGTAATATAACGTCATGTTTTTCATGCTGATAGATTTTTAAATATACAGAAAATTGTGCCTGAAGGCAACAAGAATAATTTTACTTCCATTACTTTCTAGGTCATAACATTTCACATCTGATGTTCCTTCCAAATATAGTCAGCTGTGTGCCTGATCCTCACTCCCACATCCAGGCATGTGCATCAAGCTCATCCTTCTCTCTTCCCAGCATCCTGGAGCATCGACCCTCCGCCCACTCCCATCCTCCTTACGTCTCTTAAAGAGACGTGTTCAGATGGTGGCATTTCACTCGCTGAACAAAGCTGTACTCCTGTCATTCTGGACTGTTTCTGTTGGAAGGGTAGTTAAAACAACTGCTGGGAACAACTATGATAAGATAAGAAGTTCCTGGAAGGTGCAAATGATTAAGTCTTTGGCTACTAATTGAAAAGTTGAAGGTTCAGGTCTCCCCACAAAGCCTCATTAGAAGAAGAATTTAGTGATGAACTCTCAAAAAATTTGCCACTGAAAAATCCTTGGAGCTCTGTTCTAGCATGTGTGGAGTTACCATGAATCACAGGCAGCATAGAAATAGTTTCAATTGTTTAGTAAGGAGAAAATTATTGTAGGGTGTGTGTACATGTGTGTGCATTTGCATGTTTTGCATGCTGCTGTAATTGTTAGGTTCCATCAAGTTGACTGCAACTCATAGCAACCCTATGAACAACAGATCTGAACCCTGTCCTATCTGTGCCACAGTCACCATGTCTAATATATTGAGCCTATTGCTGCAGTCACTGTTTCAATCAATCTATCTTGATGTCCTCCAAAGAATGACCACGCCCCCACCAACAACATGACATGCCCAAAGTATAAGAAACGAGGTTTCACCATCCTTACCTCCAAGCAGCACTCTGGTTGCACTGTCTCAAGACAGACTTGTTTGTACTTTTGACAGTCTATTGGATATTCAGCACTCTTCTCCAACACCACAGCTCAAAGCTGTCAATTCTTCTGTCATCCTTAAGCTTGCATAAGAAAGAGCTAATTCCTTAAGTTAGAGAAGAGGCAAGTCTAACTCCACTTATATTGTTACATGCCAGAGTCAATGATGACTCGTAAAGACCCTATGAACAATGAATCTGAAACCTTATGCCATCTTACACTCCATTTTTAGCAGTATACACATACAGTAGAATCAGCTCTAGACCAGTGGACTACATAAACCAGCGTATCTACTGTGAACCTTCTGTGGGTCAGGCACAGGGCTAAACAAAACTGCAGTATTCTCGGTCTTCATGAAATTAATAGTCCAGCAGAGATGTCAGAGAGTAAATAAGAGTTGTGCTGCCAACCCAAAAGCAAGCAATTAGAATCTACCACTGCTTTGCGGGAGAAAGACGGGTATTCTCCTCCTGTGTGATTTACAGCCTCTGAAAAAAATCCACTGGAAGATCAACTAGGAGTTGGTTGCACCTTGACAGCTCATAACAACAAGGTGTGTTAGGTACACAAGGGTGAATTTCATAGGCTCCTTCCTCTTAATGTACCTTGCTGAGTAATCCACTTGCTTTTCCCCGCTCTGGGTTTAAAGAAAGGCAATCCGTGCAGACTCCTTTGTACCGTTGTGAAGAGGCTGACACTTCCTCAGAAAGCTGCTCAAATTCTTAAGCACTGCAGTCTGTAGGGAGTTGCACTGCTAATGCAATGGCGGCAGCCCTGCTGGCAGTTCAAACCCACTAGGATCTCCTGGAGAGAAAGATGGGCAATGTTCTCCTCTGCCTTGGAAAACCTGCGAGGGGGTCAGCTGTGAGTCAGTTCCAGTTCAATGGCAAGGAGTTAAGTTTGAGTTGGGTTTGTTATCATGAAGTTATGCAAACACTAATGTGTACACAAGCAGTCCACAGAGGAGCCAGATAATGCAGACCTCGGCCTGCAGCCAGGCCAGTTTGGAAAGCTAGCTTTCTCTCAGTGCTTTGTTTTGATTTTTGTCAGGTTGAAACTATAGCCTCTTAACAATTGTTTGCTTCAGAGTACGGAGAGGCAGTGAAGCCTCAAGCTAAGGGAGGTTGCAACTTAACCCAGGAAAAGTCCACTAATTTGGAATTGAGGTGATGCCAGAGCCATTTTCATCTCTGGCGCTCTCTGGGATTGGGTAATCAAGAAGAAGCCCATAAATGAAGCAAGTTCAGCTAACGGGTAAGACGTCCATGGAATATCCTGCACTCTTATCTCAATTAACTGCTTCTTGATACTATTAGATGCCATTGAGTCAACTCCGATTTGTAGCCACCCATGAACATCAGAAAGCCTTACTCAGCCCAGCATTGTCCTCACAATCACTTTGTACTTGAGCCCATTGTTCAGCCACTGTGTCAATCCTTTTCCTCTTCCCTCTTGTAATTCACAGAGAGTATATTGTCTTTCCTAGATGGCTCACATGACAAAACATGACACAGATACCGAGTATGGAGCATCATTTCAAACACTTCCATGACTGTGAAATGTTCTTTAAGTCTCATTAATGGGATGGCATTTGTTTCTTTGTTGCTTGCAGTACATTTCAGGATTTGGGAACGAGTGTGCCTCTGAAGATCCTCGCTGCCCAGGAGCCCTGCCAGAAGGACAGGTATGCATGAAGAGTTTACATATCTCTGTATCATAGACCTGAATGATGAACCATCAGGCCACACCCCCTCTGCCCACCAAGATTCTTGTAATTCAGCCAGTGAGTGGTCCAGGCATTTCCCCAAGCCATTAAGTAAGTGGACACAGGCCAATGGTAATACAAAGATTAAAGTTGGCTTGGTGATTACTTATGGCTAAACCATCAAACCCCAAATAGTAAGACAAGCTCTAGGACTTCCAAGAGGATCCCAGAGGTTCAGGGCTAGGTCCAGGGGCTTCCTTGTAATTCCTTGTACTAGCTTAAGACATGAACATTGAGAAGAAAATAATCAGATTCTCCAAAAAAAAATGTATGTACAAAGCTAAAACAAACCATTTACATAAACTGGTTTACCATTTACAAAACTAGTGTTGCTTACAGAAACAAAAATTTAAAAAATGGCAAACCATTTTTCAACATTTAAGTATTACATGGTATGAAAAAAAATGTGCATGATACAGTGTTTCCTTTAAAAAAATGACCTGACAATGTGACTGCCTATATCGTAGGATTCCCATTTGTGGGGGGTTGAGAATAGAAGGAAGTATACCAATATGGTAGCATTGGATTATTTCTGGGTGGTAATGCAGGATCTTCTAAAAGTTTTGTATATTAAGAAAGCATTACTTTCATAACCAGAGACTAAGACATTGGAAAAGTAATTACAAGAAGTCTGTATGGGCTGGGGATGGCTTTCTTGTACGGGATTCTCACTTCTAAGGGATCTTTATAGAGCCCCTCATTGCAATACTACAACACCACAAATGGATTGAGGCACCACAATTACAATAGTCCAGGGCATCTTGAACAGGGGACAAGATTCCTACACTGAAGTGTTTGTAGGCCCCTAGCCAGGGACATCTGTTAAGAGGGTATGAAAGGTACCTCTGTGGCCCCCATCCTCAAACAGAATCAAGACGCTGGTGGGAGGGAGGTGAGGAAGCAGCTACTCCTGCTCTAGAAAACATACATGTTTGATTCACTTCACAAATTTCCATATAAACAAAGAAGAAAAGGTCTCTGAGAGTCTGTCCTTGCCCTTAGGATTGTGATGTCAGATACTTTTCCATTTGACATGATGTCTACTTGAAATATTGTCTCCTTTGTTTTAGAATAATCCTCAGGTCTGCCCCTACAACCTGTATGCTGAGCAGCTCTCAGGATCTGCTTTCACTTGTCCAAGGAGCTCCAATAAGAGAAGGTATAAGGATTAGGGGGCAGGAGAGGGAATGGGAAGGATCTGGGAGAAAAGACAGGGTAATGATGGGCAAAGTGCAATGGTAATTAATTTTAATAAAACATAATGCATGAGAATGATTGTATGAAACACAATGTGAATGAAGAATAGTGTGAAATACAATGTATACAAATTTTATAAGCAAAACAACATTGTTGTTATGTGTCGTGGAATCACCTGCAACTCATAGCGACCCTATTTACAACAGCTCTGAAGCCTGCCCTATCCTGAGCCAGTCTCGCTGATTCTGACACACCTACCCCCATTGCCCCAGTTACTATATTCATCTCATCCAAGGTCTTCCTCTCCTGTGCTGTCCCTCCATCCTTCCAACATGATGTCCTTCTCTAAGGATCAGTCCCCCATGCCCACATGGCCGAAGTATGTGAGTTGGAGCTTCAAAATCCTAGCTTCCAAGGACAAACTTGGTTCCATCCTCTCCAAGACAGACTTACTTGTTTTCTTCGTGGTCCATGGTATGTTCAGGACTCTTCTCTAGCACCATAAGTCAAAGGCATCAATTCTTCTTCGTCTGCCATCCTTAGTCATTGCCCAGCTCTCTGATGCATAGCAAGTAATTGCAAAGAGAAGGTACAAGGCTTAGATGAATTCTAACTTGCAGACTGGGATAGCAATGGCCAAAGGCAGAGGATAGTGTCTACAGCCGAGCCATAGCCTCCCAGGGCTGCCCAAGTTGTTCTCATCTGCTCTCTTCTAGGCCCATAGCCAGGGAAGTCTGGGAAAAGGGGGTGAAAGATACCTCTGTGGCCCCCATCATCTAACAGAATCAAGACACTGGTGGGAGGGAGGTGTGGAAGGACCTGCACCTGACCTGGAAAACGTGCATATTTGATTCCCTTCACAAATTTCCACCTAAACATAGGAGAGAGTTTCTGATAGTCTGTCCTTACCCTTAGGATTGTCCAGTTGAATGAGAGTTTTTCATTTGTTTTTAAAATAATGAGTAAATAAAATTTTAGAAAATTCAGAGCAATATCTTCCCCAGCTGACTGCAGACATTATGTATCTCACAGAAAAGCATTAGATCGCTCAAGCTTGGGTAGTTGAAAGAGCGTGTATTAAGACCCCTTGTGGTTTGAATGAATAAAGCTTTTCTCTCTGGAATTTGCCTTTGCTGGGAAACTAGCACATTCATTAGCACATAATGTCATGTCCGTGTTTGCTGTAATCCTACAAGTCAGGTCAGTGAACTTGCTTCCTTGATTAGCTCCTATGGGGCAAGTTGGATACAGTAGGTGTAGTGATTTAAACGTATAGTACAGCACCTACTCGTAAGAGTTTTAGACTGTGAAGAGGGCTGCTGCTTCCACTGGGGACTCCGGGAGGAGGCTAGGCGGTCCGGCACTGCTTGGTGAGTGGGGCTGTGTTTAACTACACAGGCTCCCCCTGAGAAGCAAATGGAATACTAGGCACAATAGTACGATTGTTGTTGTTATATGCCATCAAGTCTCTTGTGACCCGTAGGAACCCTATGTTCAAGAGCCCTAAATGCTGCTCTGTCCTGTGCTAACCTCGTCATCTCCGACAGACTCATTCTCACCTCCACAATCACAGAATCGATCCATCTTATTGACTGTCTTCCTCTCCTGCGCCATCCTTTCACTCTCCCAAACATGGCCTATAAAAATGGAAGTTTGTTCCCTGTGATCCTGTGTACTGCAGTGCCAGGCCCCTTGGGTTTAAATCTTGACACCTTCTTTTTCTTGCTACATAGCCTTGGGTGAATCATCTACCTTCTCAGAGCTTCTAGTTTCTCACTTGTAAAGCAGAGATAATAACAGCACCTACTCCACAGATGTGGTGCGGATTAAAAGATCTTTCTTACAGAGGAGATGTGGGAGCTCTGGTGGCATTCCCTAGCAGTGGGGACCCACCAGCAGCTCTTCATTAGAAAAGGTGGCGGCCTCTTGAAAACCTGCTGGAGCGTCAGCTATGAGTTGGTCCCAAGTTGATGGAAGAGTGTGTGTGTGTGTGTGTGTGTGTGTGTGTACACATAAGAGAGATAGATTGAGAGAAGGAAGCTGGATGAACCTCCAAAACTATTGCCCTGGGCTAGTCTTTCAACTGTAAGGTAACAATATCCTGTTTATCTTCTTTTAAAAAAAATTTTTCACTCCTCTCCTATCTTCTTTAAATAATCTTTAATAATTCTTTAACTATTTTCTTTAAACCCAACAGTAAATTAGCTGATGTAGTAAAGAACGTTTGCCTTGAGAATTGTGAATTTTGAAGAACTATCTCTGTGGGAGCTACTGGTAATAGCAACAATAAAGGTTGGAGTGGACACTTAAGGATCATTTAGTCAATGTTCATAGTAGAAGAGCTATTTTAAAAAGTGGAATGTGAATGGCTGGACAACTTGAAGAATGTACTCAATGTCACTGAAACAGACACGTAGAAATTCTTTGGTATATGTTCTGTTGTGTATGCTTTCAACAACAATGAAGAAGAAGAATGTCTGCAAAGGTCTTACTTAGCACAGGGCCTGGCACACAGTGAATAGTCACTTAATGTGAGTTGTTGTTATTATAACCATCATCATTATTGGAACTCTAGCCAAGGTTCTGCTTCAATACTAGATTATTTCTAACTGGTTGTCTGAGAGCTGAGTGAGAAATACAGTAGGAGCTGTGTGACAATGTTTATATCAACACTGACTCCCAGTAGACATGTGCATGGGGAGAAGAGGAGAGATAGAAGTGTCCCAAGTCTATTAAAAAAAAATCAATACAATTAGAGGTTAATTATCCAAGTCAAAGCAAGGTAAGCACACAGACAAGATAATTCTTGTTCATTCTTATGGCAACCTCATATCCATGACTGCTTTGGTGGCTTCGCCTCTGGGGACTGGTACTGCTGACCCCAAAGTGGCACCTCTCTGGTGGTTTAAATCCAGCAGTGGCTCTGTGGGGAAAACGAGCAATCTCCTTCCTCACAATTTATAGCCTCAGAAACCTGCAGAAGGGTCCACTAGGAGTCTAGATGGTTCCAAGTCAACAGCCACAAGTGGTTTCCTTTTCTTTTGAGCTTCCATAACTATCTCTGACTTAATGGCCCATCCATTAACTGGGTATCTGGACTCCAGATTCTGCTGCCTGCCCCCACTGTTTAGCAGTATCTTCAGATCGCAGGAGTTGAGCTCACCGTTTCAGAGGACTGAGAAGGATTTGCTGGGATTTCATTAAGAAACTGGCACTGCTCCTTGAATCACAATTCCATCTCCATCCAGGGCAATGCAGGGCTGCCTGGGGAATTTTATAGACTCAGCTAAAAAACAAAGGACATTAGGTCGGTATGGTTCACACATCTCTTTAAAACTCTCTAGTGATATCCACAAGAATTTTTTGTGAAAATGCTCAGAATCACTAATGAGAAGATTTGACCAGGCCACACACACATTTCCAGTTTATTATCACTCATTCATACCATAGAAGGCAAGGCTACCACAAAACTATCTTCTGTTGGGGTTAGTTTTTATCTCATGTTAGCTGGTCTCTTGGATCTTGCAGTTAAGGGGTAGGAGAGAGAACCAGGTGGAAATTCCAGACCATGATGAAAGTCAAATGATTTGCTACTCTAATCTATAAGCTCCTATTTCATAAACTCTCCAGTCGCCAAACAATACTGAAAGACTCATACACTTTCTGACCCCTCAGACAAACCTAAGAAATAAGGATGGAGAACTCTGAGACCAAGAATGTTTATTAACTTGCCCAGGATTACACAACTGCTCTAAGATACACACACGTGCTCTCAACCCCAGGATGTTGGAAGACACCTGGTTTATTCTAACGTTTGGCCTGTAGCCAAAGATCTGAAGTTATAGCATGGAGAGCTAAAAAGCTCCAGCAGAAGTTAAACAAATCTATCTCCGAACTTTATGAATTTTGTATGTTGTTGTTATGTAAACCAGTATAAAGTAATAATAATAACAAAAAAAAAAGAAATGAAAAGGAATCTATCTTTGATGCCCCCCTGTGGCTTATTGTCAGGCCGGGTTAACCGCATCTCTGAAGTAAATTGTCTTTGAACTTAAATGATCAAAGCTTAAAAGCTTCTTAAGTCAGGTGTCTTTTCGTTGACAGAAGTAGGACCCTCCTTCCTGGACCCTGTCAGGGTAAAGGCTTTTGGAAGGAGTTGGTCTTAATGAGGACTTAGGGAGTCTCAGCGTCTTTCTCAGCATCTGGAAGTTTCTCTCACTGGTACCCAGCAGGGTCCTTCATTACAATCTTCTATCCTGAGTGTTTTCCTTCCTGAGATCTGAGATTAGGGCTCCAGAGGGGACATCTTAGGTTCAGGCCATTCCAAGTACAGAAAATTATTTCAAAAAATAATAAATGTGCTTTAGGAAAGCCTAAGTACATACAGGAATATTTGGAATACAGAATTGTTATAGACTAAATATCTTTAAAATAATAACAAAAAAGACAAGTAATCCAACAGGAAAAGAGCAAGTAATTCACAGAGGGGAAAAATGCAAAGAGGCTCTAACCACATTAAAAGATTCAATAGAAGGTGCCTTTGAGTTGTGGTACTGGAGGAGTACTGAATATACCGTAGATTGCTAGAACAGGTTTGTCCTGGAGAAAATGAAACCAGGCTGCTCCTTGGAGGAAAGGATTCTGAAGCTTCGTGTCACATACTTTGAGCATATTCCAAGGAGGGGCCAGTAACTGGAGAGGAACATCATGCTTGGAAGAGTGGAGGGACAGAGCAAGAGAGGAAGACCCTGGATGAGATAGACTAACTCAGTGATTGGGGTAACATGGCTAGGTGTGAGAGACAATAAGATTGGAACAAGGTAGAGCAGGGTTCAGAGCTGCTGTACATAGGATTGCTATGAGTTGCAAGTGACTCCACAGTACATAACAAGTACCACCTTATTCATAATAAAGTAAATACAAAATACAAAGTGAAATATTATTGTTCAGGCGTTCCAGGGCAGTGCAAACTGTTAATGTGTTTTACTGCTAGCCTATGGCTGGAGGTTTAAGACAGGTCAGAGGTATCTCTGAAGAAAAGCTTAGCAATCTACCTTAGAAAAACCAGCCATTGAAAATGCTGCTCTACTCAGATACATGAGGGTTCACCATGAGGTGGAGTCAGCTCAACCGCACCTTAGTGGTGAGGATATTTGCAAAGGTGTCCCACATTTTGTTGGCAGAAGCTAAAGTGTTACAATGATGTGGCAGTTTTGTGTTTATATACCCTGGAACTATGAGAGGTTTTACAAGAAAATTCTCAAGCTCTGACACCTCTAAGAAGTATCCCTTGAGGAATTACAGGAGAGGAGATATTTCTCTTTAGAACCTTCAAAATTAGATTATTTTTACCACTGATATGTTAATTTGTAGAATTTTAAAAGGAAAATGAATTTCTATTTTAAAATAACAAAAACCTCCAATTCTTTAAGTTTTTTTAAAAAACTCAACTTGTTATTATGATCTGAATGCAAATTAACAGAAAATTTGCTTACCATTCAACAATGCATACACCTTGTTTCGTGACATTGATTTTAATCCCCACACTGTAACAACACTCTTCTTAGTACCTCTCTGTGTTACCAGTTTCCATTCATTCTCTTTCTTACCCCTTCCTGCTTTCTGATCTTTCCCGAAAGCAAATGCTGCCCTCTTTATCTTTTATGGTTATTCCAAGTGTGTTTCTCCCTAGAGTTATTGATCACCTTGTAGGCTTGTCTGTTGTTTGGCTGAAAGCTGAATCACAAGGCTGATTTCAGTTCCAAATTTGAAAGGTGACTAAGGATCATAATCTCAAATATTCCCCTAGTCTCTGTCGGACAAATAAGTCTGGCCTTTTTATAATTTTGTGTTTGGTTCCATATTTCCTCCCACTGTATCTCAAACAACAACAACAACAACAAAACCCCTGCTGATTACCATGAAGTTGGAACCAATTCATAAATGACCCCTCGACAGGTTTTCAGAGGCTATAGATCACATAGGAGGAGACTGATCGTCTTCATCCCAAGGAGCTCCTGGATTTGAACCACCATAGAGGCGTAGCCTTTGGCTTAGCAGTGCGTCCTCCGACAGACCACGCCACCAGAGCTCGCACTCCATCAGCGGTCTTCTATTGGCAGTGACCCCTTTCACAGTGCTCAGCAGTGGTAGTTGGGCATCATGTAGACCTTCTGGTCTGAGGATGATAGAGACTGAAGTTCCCATGGTCATTAGTCTTTTGGACTCATGTGACTAGTGTGATTATGTGCTGTTGAGGCAGAACCATTTCACAGCTGGCCCTCTAATAGGTTTTAAGAGGCTGTAAATAATATAGGAACATATTTCCCATCTTTCCTCAGCCCACCTTTGGGACAGCAGTGTGATTTTTTTTATTGTTAGGGTAGTGTGGTTTTTTCCCCTTTACTTTTCTTTGATTCATATGTCCAGAATACTTTTCATCTAAACAGAATTCCTTGTGCTCACCTTCTAGGTAAGTAATAATAATAATAATAATAACAACACTCTCTGATTTGTAGTTCAATGTGCTTCTGTAGTTTTTCTGGCCTAGGCATTCTGTCAAAGTTCTTCTATTACATTTTTAGTTGTTATTGGAAAACACAATTATTCATTTTTCTGTTAGCAGGCAAATAACCAAGAGATAGAATCTCAGTTTGAAGAGTGATGGGTGGACTGGACAGGTGGGGAGAGACCAGGGCTATGGGCAGCAGGGGTTATTAAGAAGTGATGTTTATGCCATTGCCTCTCACTTTAAAGATCTCAGTTGACTTGAATATCTTCCTGCACCAATGTGGACCAATGTGTACCACTTACCAATGTGGCCCTTCCTGGACCAATGTATATCACTTATAACACTACCCTAAATTTTTTTTATTAATTTTAAGGAAAGTTTATAAAGACTTAGAGTTTCCAGTCATTCACGGTCGCACTTTTCTCCCTGCCCACTCCTCCCCCCCTCCCCCAGTTCACTCTTCCTTGAAAAGTAAAAGAAAAACTCTTTCATTGTTATGTAATCCCTCTCCCCAAGTCCACTGCACTGTGTAGCCTTCATTCTGGACTCCTGTCATGACAATAATACCTAATCATACATCCCTTTTAAACAGTTCTCTCCCTCATCTGTTTCAATGCAGTATGCATCATTCATCCCCTCTTTCTCTGTCTTCCCTCAGCCCCGATGTCAGTCCCATTTTACAACAGTGGCCCTATGCAATATTTTCCTTTTATGACTGAGATATTTCACTCAGCATAATGTCCTCTAGGGTCATCCACTTTGCATAGTATTTCATGAGTTCCTTGTTTTTCAATGCTGTGTAGTATTCCATTGTGTGAATATACCAGAGCTTCTCTATCCACTTGTTGATGGGCACTTGAGCCACAATAAACATGGCTGTGCATATATCTGCTTACGTGGCAGTTAAGGTTTCTTTAGGGTAAATTCCCAGTAGAGGAATTTCTAGGTCGAATGGTATTTCTATTTGCAACTTTTTAAGAAAGCAATACAGCCTTCCATTGTGGTTGCACCATTTTACACTCCCTCCAACAGTGAATAAGTGTTCCAGCTTCTCTGCAACCTCGCCAGCATTTAATGTTTGCTGTTCTGTTAAATTTTACTATTCTTACTGTGGTGAGATGATATCTCATAGTTGTTTTGATTTGCTTCTCTCTTAGAGCTAGGGATTTTGAACATTTCTTCATGTGTTTGTTCGCCATCTGAATGTCTTCTTTTGTGAAGTGTCTGTCCATATCCTGTGCCCATTTTTCAATTGATTACCATAAATTTTTATGTGCCCTTGTTTTCCCACAGCTGGCTCTATAGGATCCTGCCCTCAGTTTCCCACAAGCCCTTTGAATCCGTGGACCAAGGGCATGTCACTCACAACTGGGACGAAGTTGATCCAGATCCTAACCAGGTAACCTGGACCTGTGAGTTAGTGAATTTAAAATAAACATTTAAATCAGATGTAGGTTTCAAAGACATCAGACAACTAAAAAATAAATTCTAGAATACATCTGTTCTTTTTTCCCAAACTTGGATGGAATTTTGCCATTTTTTTTAACCACTTGCTTATATGTGCATGTGTGTGTATCTAGGAGGGCATGAGAGTGGTTCACGTTTGCTAAGAGTGTCCAGATGAGTTGAGCTAATGGAAACTGTATGTTGTTGTTTTGTTGTTGTGTTGTTGTGTGCCGTCAAGTTGCTTGGAACCCATGGAGACCCTACGTACAGCAGCTCTGAAGCCTGCCCTGTCCTGATCCAGTTTCACTAATTCTGACACACCAACTCCCATTGCCCCACTAACTGTATCAATCCATCTCATCTGGGGTCTTCCTCTCCTGCACCCTTCTGAGCATGATGTCCTTCTCCATGGACCGGTGACTCCTGACCACATGCCAAAAGTATGTGAGCCAGAGCTTCAAAATACTAGCCTCCAGGAAGAAACTTGGTTTTATCCTCTTCAAGACAGGCCTATTTGTTTTCTTGGCAGTCCATGGTATGTTCAAGACTCTTCTCCAGCACCGCAGGTAGAAAGCATCAATTCTTCTTCTGTCATCCTTAGTCATTATCCATCTAGAGAGTAATCACTTGCATAGCAAGTAATTGTGGAGACCATTGCCTGAATTAGGCACAATTTAGTTCCTAGACTGACATAATTGCTTTTCAGTACTGTGGAGAGGTCCCTGACAGCAGATTTTTCCAATGCAATTAATCTTTTTTCTTGACTGCTAGTGTTAAGAGTGTTGATTGTGGAGCCCAGCAAGCTGTAATTGTTAACAACCTCAATCTCTTCTCTATCTACCATGGTTAGATTGGCCCAAGGGGAAAATCTTTGTCTTCTTCATGTTGAGCTTCAATCCATATTGAAGACTACAAACCTTGAGTTTCTGTGTCAAGTGCTTCAGGCTTCTTCAGTTTTGACAAACAATATTGTGTTATCGGCATAAAATAGATTATTGAGGAGTCTTCCTCCAATCCTGATGCCACATTCCTCCTCATAAAACCCGGCTTCCCGAATAATCTCTTCTGCAGATCATAGATTGAAAAGATATGGAGACAATGCATCCCTGAAGCACTCCTTTCCTGATTTTGAACCATGCAGTGTTTCCCTGCTCTATTCTGAGAACTGCTTCCTGGTTCAAGTATAGGTTTCACATAAGCAAGTGTTCTGGGATTCCCATTTTCCTCAAGGTTAGCCACTATTTGTTGTGTTCCACACAGTCAAATGCTTTTGCATATTCAAATAGACATTCTTCTGGTACTCTTTGCTTTCTGTCAATATCCATCTAACATTGGCAATAATGTCTCTAGTGCCATGACTTCCTTTAAACCAGCTTCTATTTCTATCAATGTACTATTCCATTAATTCCTGGATAATCTTCAGAGTGATTTTGCTAGTGTGTGATGTTGTTGTTCTTATGTGCCGTAGAGTCGCTTGCGACTCATAGCGACCCTATGTATGTGATATTGTTTGATAATTTTCATATTCTGTTGGGTCACCTTTTTTGGAATGGGAATAAATATAGATCTCTTCCAGTCAGTTGGCCAGGTAGTTGTCCTCCAGATTTCTTGTCACAACTTGGTGAGCACATCCAGGGCAGCATCTGTTTGTTGAAATATGTCAATTGATATTCCATCAATTCCTGGGGCTTTATTTTTTTGCCAAGTCCTTCAGAGCAGACTGAACTTCCTCCTTCATCACTATTGCCTCTTGATCATATGTTGTTTCTTGAAATTCTTCTGTGTTATACAATTTTTTTTGGTACAATAACCCTGTATACTCCTTCCATTTCATTTTAATGCATCCTGAATCATTCAATATTCTGTCCACAGCATCCTTAAGTATTGCAATTTGTGGCTTGAATTTGTTCTTTAATTCCTTAAGCTTAAGAAATGCAGAGTGAGTTTGGCCTTTTTTATTTTCTGACTCCAGCTCCTTGCACATTTCATTATAATACTGTGCCTTGTCTTCCCAAACTGCCCTTTGAAATCTTCTATTTAGCTCCTTAACTTCATGATTTTTTCCCTTTACCTTAGCTTCTCTGCACTCTAGTGTATTATTCAGAGTCTCTTCTGATATCCATTTTGGTTTTTCTTCTTCATTCTTTGTATTTGACCTTTTGCATTCTTCATCAATGATACTCTCGACATCCTCCCACAGCTCATCTGATCTTCAATCATTAGTGTTCAAGGCCTCAAACTTGTTCCTGAGATGGCTTTAAAATTCAGAGGTGATAGACTCCAGGTCAAATTTTGATACCTGTGGATATTCTTTAGCTTTACTTTGACTTTGCATGTGAGTAGTTGATGGTCTGTTTCACAATCAGCACCTGGCCTAGTTTTCAGTGCTGATATTGAACTTCTCCAATGATTCTTCCATAGATATAATGGATCTGACTCCTGAGCATCCCATCAGGAGAAATTCATGTGTTACAGCCTGTGATTATGTTTCTTATAAAAGGTATTTGCTAGGAATAAATCATTGATTGTACAGAATTCTATCATTCTATTCCCAGCATAATTTCTGTCACCAAGTCCATATTTTCAGACTTTTACTAATTCTTCTTCCTGGTTCACAACTTTCGCATTCTAATCACCCATTATTATTAATGCATCTTGGTTATGTGTTCAGTCAATTTCTGACTGTAACAGTTGGTAGAAATTGTATAGGCCATGGAAAATACCTAAACACCCATGCGTTTTTGAAATCTAAACTTCTCATACAATATAGAAAAACAAAACATGAAAAACACACAGAACAAAACCACCCAAAAAGAACCATTCAGTACTGACATCTGAAGAAAGGCTCTCTGGTAAAGGGATGGGAGGATGGGAAGTTCATTGTCAGAGTTGGATTCTATAAATCTGATTGTGGGGGCAGATTGCTATCTATTGCATTCTCGTCAGACCTAGGTGCTCTGTTCTCTGCCTCAGAGTTTCCTTCTCTCGGTCTAGTGATGAGCGGACTTTTCCTCTGGGCTTAAGTATTATTTACGTCTTCTTTGTGCTTACAGCAATGAGGCAGACCAGAGACTGTGGACTTTTCCTGTAATCCTTCCTTAAGTCTAGCTCAATAGTTCTCAAATTTGGTGTACTTAAGAATTATGGTACTGAGCAGCACACACAAAGCCATGTATACTATACTTTACAGGCGATTTAAGGGATTTTTGAGATTTTTTTGTACTTGATTTTCATCTTACTTACTGGTTTTACAACCACTCTTTTTATCTGTGTAATATGAGCTCTGGATTTGCTTGAGAGCATTGTAGTAAATTTAGGTGAAGATTTCCTGTGCCACCTGAAAAAACAAACTTGTTACCCAGATAACTTCCCCACTTCTCAGACAGAGTGTGTATTAAATGCCTGATTAGCATTTAATCCATAAAGCATAGGTATCTATCCTTTAACTTCTCTCATAGAAGAAATCTTGCTATTAAACATGAGTTCATTAATAAAAAATAAATGAGAATTACCATAATACTGAAAAAATTGGATTTTGACATGTAATTCATTTGGGTGTCAACTGGACTTTAAGGGAATGGGCAGAGTCCTGGGCTCAAGCTAAACACAAGTCCTCATGAGACAAGCAAGTGAGGCCAAGTGTTAAAGGTAGCTAGATGGTCAAGCAGCTGCTGCCTCAGTAGTCCCACCCCTCTTTCAGTTCTAACCCTGGTCTAGGAAGTTATTGTTTGTTGTTTACCATAAAGTCAGAACAGAGTCATAGTTGTTTACTGCCAAGTCAGAACAAATCCATAGCTCCCCTCTAGAGAATTTTCAGAGGCAGTAAATTGCACCTGTGAAGATTGCCCATCTTTCTTCTGTAGAGAGGCCGTTGGCTTATGAACCCACGTATCTTCGTGTTAGAAGTGCAACTTCTTATCACAGAGCCATTAGAGCTGGACTGGGAAGTTATTGTTGTTGTTAAGTGCCATCAAGTCGTAGGCGACTCATATCAAACCTATCAACAAAAGACCTGAGCATTATTCATAGGGTTTCCGGAGGCAAGCCATTTCAGAAGTGGATGCCACTCCTGCTTTCAAGCTTGTTTTAACCAGAAAGCTCCACCAAACACTGTCCACCATGGGTAACCTTATCACATTTAGCACATCAGTGTCACAGTGTTTAGCATCACAGCAACCACAAGTTACCTCTGTACAGCCATCCACAGACCAGTGCTATACCACTTAGAAGAATGACAGAAAAAAAGCAATTTAAACCAGGCCTGAGGGCCGCAGATTAAAATCACCCACATTGGGCTTGGTAGCATAATTTTCTGTCCACTAGGCCAACGTAGCTCTCTCTATGTTGTCGTTGTTATTGTTGTTAAATGCCGTCGAATTGTAGATGACTCATAGCGACCCTATGAACGAAAGACCTGAGCACTATTCATAGAGTTTCCAGAGGCAAGCCATTTTGGAAGTGGGGAAGAGAAAGTGATAAAACTCTATGAGGCTTGGAGCTCAGATGAGACCCAAAATAGAGGTGAAGTCAGGGTTGCCAGAATGTTCATACAAGTTGTACCAAGGCCCTGCCAGTTGAAGGGGAATTGGAATAAGATGAGAGATAACCTATTAGCCCATGCTTCATCCCATTAAAACTGCAGCATGAAATGTTCCTGCTTGCTTCCTAAAGTTTCCTCTATCTTTTCCTGTAAATACATTTCTGACCTTACACTTTACATGTCTCCTGTTTCAAAATCCTCAAACACTTTCTCTGAGGTGACTACCAAATGTACTCCCATTCTAATATCTCCTCTGCACGTTTGTGACCTTGTGCTCGCACTCTCTGGCACAGATGTGTCTCAGCACTCAATAACAGCTCTTGAATTCTCGCTCCATGAAAGTGACAGCATCATCACTCTCAGCTCTGCGACCTGTCCCGCCTGCCAGCCTGGCTCCCTTGTCCTGATAGGCA